TACTGCCTATAATTTAATATATTAAATGCGTTTTTGACATGCGGCACTATATATCCAATGTTAAAATATTATCCATTATAAGTGGTTATTACCAATGCATGACTCAGTAACAAAAACCTTCAGAGGCTCTATTCTTCACGCACGTGTCAAGTACATACAAAAGAAACCATCCCGGAGAGAAACACGAAATTTGATAGGCCATTTAACAACACTAGGCGCAAAACGAAATTCTAATGCAAATCGTGCTAACGCCATGAATGTAATAGTTTGTCGTGGCCTGCGCACGCGTCGAACACCGGAAACAAATTATCATACCCATATAAGCGGACGAAAAAGTTATTGATGTCAACGTAAATAAATTGCGCTAAACGAGAAAACGGAACATTTGTCAATAGACAATTTTTGTGTGAATTTAAAATTGGAACTGGACGTCTTTGTCAACGGTTTTTCAGAGGAAGTGAACGAGTTTGGAAAATTAACGGTCGTTGAATGGGTCATCGGTGAATGAGGGACATAACGGTTTCGGTCACTCACGATTAGGTATCGTGAATTCGAATTTGGAATTTACATTCTCAACACAATCTCGTTACATTTTAAACGTTATGTTCAAGTATATATATACGTCATAATTTTCGGATAAAATGCTAATCCTAAGGAATATGGTGAGATTGTTTGTGCTGTTGAATTAGTTTGAATTTTGGTAGTAAAGAATTTTATCGTTACGCAGACGATACAAAAAAGGAAATATGTTCCCGAACTATTGAAGAGGCTAGTCTTATTATAATTCATATAAAAGTAACCCCTAGGCTCTAAAGATAAAGGATATAATATATGTTGCGCCATCTTTCAAGAGAAGGTTACAAAACATATACATCAATATTATTAATTTTAAGAATTTTTTTTGGCACGCACCGAAACAATTTCCTGGTGATTGAACCTGGGACCTAAGTCACATCGGCGGAGGCTATTTTAATTAATAAATTCGTTTATTGTACCTATATATAGACAATAATTAAATATAAATCGAATGTTCAACATATTAACTCCGTCCCCAAAATGTATTATTTGCGTACAATATCTGAATTCGTTATGTAAAACCAATATGTTTATTTGTATTATATGTGATTTGTTTGGGTAATTCAATGTATCTAGGCAGAACGGCGGCCCTAGGTCACTGACATGTTTACCTCTAGGCATAGACAAGTCTAGGCATTAATTCATACTCTGTGACACAAACCAATAGTGTCTGTGGTGTTTTATCGAATTTTTCGCCAAATTTCATTTCTGTATTTTTTATATACGATATAAAAGGTTTAATCGAGTGAAACCATAGAAAAATACTAGTATCATTAAGAAACAAAAGCTATAATTATAAATAAATAATACGTTAATATTAATTATGTATCGACAAGCTCTAAGCGTGAAGGTCATTAGAACAAATTAATTCTAAACTAAAACGCGGATTGGAAAAACCGAACCGCTACATACTAATTAAAAATAAATATTTAATTATCTTGAGTTTTAGAGATCCTCGCGTACTGACAGAAAACTCTCCACAGATAAAAAGCGCGAACCAACAAAATCACAGAGAGAACTGACAGATTTCGCAAAGAATTGTCTATGTCACTCTTCATTCACAACCGTTCATTTAGATTTAAATAAAGAACAATCTTAAAACCGTATTCTTTCTTTAATTGGTCCTTAAGATTTTCATTTGTACGTTACACTTTATAATTATTAATCTATTATTGGGATAACGTTATTACATAAGATATTCAAATACATTCTTATTAATTGTAAGTAAAATTTGTAATATATTTTGAACTTTTGAGTTAATTTATATTGAACTTATTAAATGTAAATAAAAAAAACACCGTATTTTTATTTGTGTTGAACTAACTTGGCCGGTTTTTTGTATTAACAAATAATATTTGTTTGAATCAATGATTTTATGCTGATGTATCAAACAATGGAATGATTAATTATTTATTTTTATTTAATCATAAATTTATTTAAATTAAAGTATAAAATTAATGGAGATAAACGAAAACTAATGGATTTTGGTGGTCTCGTAAAGAGCTATCTAGGCAGAAACAGTATGTGTCCGTTTAATTATTCGTTTATTAACTTGGAACAATATTTTCAACAGGAACCGAGTCTAGGACATTCGCTACATGTTATAAAAGCCGTAGAGGCGGTGGTAAACTTATATTGAAAATAATTATTTACAAGTATCTAACAAATGATCTACAAAAATATATTATTATAAAGTTATAGGTAAATTAAAGTACATCGTCAAAATCTCCCAATATCCTTATCAACATGAGAAAACAAATAGTTTCATCTTATCTTGACATCTCAAGCCGTCTCGATAGCCCTTATCTTTGAGTGGTCGACACTTTCTCTACCGCACGCTAGATGGCGCTACACACTATACAAAAGGCACGTGAACTTACAAAAACATTAGCTTATAAGATGCCATTTGCCGAATAACATATATATTAAAAATATAAATTAAGTTTTATAAAAAATGGGTTATTATTTATATTGTTTATCGTCACCTAATTGCATTCAGAATTCCAAGCAAGGAATAGAGAAATAAGGAATTTTCTAGAATCAATCGTTGCTATACCACCAATTAATTACACACATACAATAACCTATAATCCCGTTAATCACAAAGATATAGTCACTACTGAACAACAGATTATTAATAAAATAATTCATACTGGTAACAATGCACACTTATCTCAAAACAAAATGTTACTGTTACTGCCAGTTCTAAATTCAAATACGATTTAAACCATCAATCAAAATATTCGTAAGAAACCATATTACATGAAGTATTTAATACTAAAAATAAATGATTTAAATTACGATACAATTGTAAAGGAAAAACTTTGGAATGTGCCAATACTTGATCAGTGACGAGACATCTGCTTCTTACTTAATAAGTGCAGCGCAATTAATATTCTTTGTATAGGTGTACTGGTAATTTCAATTATTTCTACAATGTATACTTTATTTGCCATGTTAAGGTTCTTCCGGAAGAATTTTACGAGCAACTTATTCAAGGGCTGGGCAGGTGGAAAGGTCCCATTTGTAAAGAAAATGGCTCATAAGAGAACTTGTAGGAAAATGAAAGAAATAATTGTATATATTTTAATAGAATTCGGTGAGAATCAAAAAGCTGTCTGAAAGTCTTTCTATATGTCAAAATTTATTCATTACTTCACCATGAGTATGATGCTATATTTACATTATAGTATTGGATTATATCAAAATAAACCTAGAAATTTCTATGAATCTTATTATCCAATATGCGCGTAGGCGGCATATTGACGCGCATACACCTGTGATACAATTACGTTTTCAAATAATGATTTTTGAAATTATTGGAAAAGTATCAAAGAGTTATAAAAGCCATATTATCAAAATATTACTACGTAATATAGAGTTTCCCCTTTTGTAAGTATTGGAATTAAATGCAACAGATAAAGCAATACGAATATTTAATTTCACTTCGACGCAGCCAAGGTATTAAAAACTTAACGTTGTTTGCGATCGATTTAATCTATCATTTGATTAATGACTCTATCCGGGACTACAGATATCTGGATGATTGAAATTATCCAAGATGGCCGCCCCGCCGAGATGGAATGTCTATTGTTTATGTTTAATTAGTTATGCCAATAAGGCATGGTGATCTTTATTATCTATACATCTATGGTGTCTGTGGAATTTTCACAGATCTTAGACATCATAAATATTTATTCTAAATTTCGAATACTTGTATTAATATTAAATGAACTAAATATATAAATTGGTTTACCTTGCGTCACTATGAACATACGTGGGTCGTTTACAGGAAAACCGAATGTATTTAAGAAAATATTCTACGAAACGTTTATTTGTTTACTTTGTTTTTATATTTACTGTTTATAATTAACAAAATTGTAGAAATGTAGGTGAGTTTATTAATTTTTAATTTAAAAGATGAATATGAAAATATTAAGTTAGAAATTATCAGGACCTTAACAACACACAGAGTCGGTACTTTTTTATCAGCTGTAGTACATTCGAGATTTTACTATGAGAGAATTATATTATCATTTAAAATTTCACGTCTCTGATGCCTAATCTGTAATTGTTTGTCAAATTCATGAAAAGCAATCGAATCTCCGACGCACACAGATCTGCTTGAAATGCAAAAATATTTCGAAAATGTTAAATTTACATTAAATTAATATTAGGCCACTATATCAGTATATTAAAAAGTTAAAATTATTTATGTATATAGGTAGTATGAGATTTGTGATCCGTATTTCTATAAAATTTTGAATTTACCTAGTAAAGTCTATTTTGTGTAAGAATAACCCATGGACAAATTTTATAGCCCATAGACAAAAAAACATTGAAATCACAATAAGATTTACAAGTCTCATTCCATAAACTTTTACTCCTATAAGTTTGTTTTAACTCAAAGTACATATCCTTAACTATCATTGTATCATTTTTGTTTAAACGCTAATTCCTTTTTAAATTGTAGTTAAGAAACTTATGGAGGAACAAAGGAATTTATGGAGTATTTTTTTCTTATTTCTTTAAAGGTTCAATATTGTTCCAACTTTTCGAACACAGTTTTTTTGCGACGATAAACATTTGAATTACTAGAACTATCTGTCAATTATTTACGATAAATCCTAACTGAAACTCAGTAAGACTATTTCCAGTTAGAATTCAAATTCGGCAAATGGGACTCTCATTAGCAGTTAGAAAATGCGATATATTAACCTGTGAGCATTGCCCGGTGATCGCCGTTATGCAGAAATTTGCGGCATTACACACGCAGTCACAAACACTGTACAGTATCCGATTAACGTAAACAACACTTAGTCAGGGAACACAGTGAACTTGTGACACGGAAACACACACGAATGAGGAACTGAGTTTTTATTATTCTTGTATCGGGTTGTAAAGCGCGGCGCGACACAACACTGTCAACGGTCGCCGGCACACTGCGCGAATGGACGCGGCGCCCCCCGCTCGCTGTTGCCCCTTTCCCCGCACAGGGGGCGGGGCTTCAGAGGCGAGGCGAGCTTAATTACGGCGGGTGAAGCGGGACGGCGATATAGTGGGCGCGAGCTATTAGCGCGCGGAGAGCGGGACGACGCGCGTCTTAAGTATTTTGTATAAGTAATGAGGGGTTCGGGGGTGTCGCGGGTGCGCGGGGGCGGGGGAGCGCGCATCTCCCGCCAATCTTTAATGTTCATTACGTCCGCCGCCGCCTCTATGCGTCCCTCATTAGTACAGCCACGCCTTAGCGTTAATTACGCTGTTTAATTGCATCTCTTGATGTAATTATTTTTTGTGCAGTGCCATATTTATTTACTGCCCTCCATTTTGTTTGCTAATCACGCATTAATTGGTCATTGATCTCTGTCAATAGGTTTCCTTGCCTTATAGGTAAATATCGATATGTTATGTCTCTTCCAAGTAAAGTTAATAAATCGCAAGTCGATAATAATTGTATTGAGTTATCTATGTATGAGCATATTTGAAACAGAAATAATGTATAATTAATTACCTCCCTTAAAATTGCGTAGGTACCTATTTTGTGTAGTGGTTGTAAATAGTAAAATTACCTACCTATACAAAACATTGATATTATTGTTTGCCAATTTCATACAAAATTGTTATATATCCAATAATATAATGGGCTATCCTGGTTTCGTACAACGATAGGTACCTTTTAATAAATAATTTAGTAATTAATATAGCATAGGTAGGTTAGTTAATCGGGGATTAAGTAGAGTTTAATAGTGAATTATTGAAATCGGTCCAGTAGTTTTTGAGTTTAATCGTTACAAAGTATAGTAGTGTCTCTTTTTAATATAAATAATAATACTAGTTATAAGTATAATTTCTTCTCATTCATCTACCTAGTAGAATCTTATCAACAAACTTCTAAGAAGTTTCGGTAGGTAGGTATAGGTATAAATAAGTAGGTAGATATTATTATGACATGATTCATATCAAAAATATGATTTAAATTTAATTTAATATTTTTTATTAGTTAATATTTAAACAAAAAATTAAAATCCTTTAAGACTTGATTCGATTTATGTAAAATTTCAGTTTACCGAAGTATAACATAAAATTTACAGATATTAATGCTTTTAACATTAGTATTGATTGTCTATGGCAAGCTACTAAAATGAGTAGGTATTATAAATTAAAAGTAGAAAATATATAACTGATGATGAGATCTTAAGACAAAAACCACGAAATAAACAGTGTAGGCACGGCAAGAATGCCGCAAAAATTAAACAAATTAAATACAATTATATTAAACTAGCTGACCCGGCAAACGGTGTGTTGCCCCTACCTATTATTTCTAGGCAACATTTTTTTAGTTCAATAAAAATAACTATCTAAACTACTTTACTAAAAAATAGGAGTTGATCGTAGAGGGGTGGCAATAAAGGGTTATATGTATTCCTAGTGCCAATACTTTGTATCCGGCTAATAAATAAATTAAAAACAACATGTATTTTTCTAGGCTGTACCTACCATAAAAAAATAAAAACGAAAATTTTGTCTTAAAATTAAAAATGTAGAGGTGGGACCAGCCTTAACATTTAGGGGATGAAAAATAGGTGTCCGATTCTCAGGCTTACTGAATATGCATACAAAATTTCATAAGAATCGGTCGAGCCGTTTCGGAGGAGTATGGGAACTAACATGTGACACGAGAATTTTATATAGGTAGGTATTAGATAAGATAACATCGTAACGTCCGGCCGCCTCTTGGCGTTGCGGTAAAGGCACTTTTGGCACCAGTTTGTCCCATTAAAAATTATGATAGTCAAACCTAGATTATATAACGTTATAAACAAGGTATATTTTTAACTCCGTTTTGTCCTAGTCAAATAAATAATGTGAAATGCGATGTCGACCACCCACGGTGTGCAAAAAATGCCACCTGACTACTGTTTGTATACGATATATTGTTACTCAAAATGTCCGGACATAAAAATGTCTCTGAAGTTTTATGTTTGTGTTATGGAATATATTTTAATTTTTTTAATTAATTTGTTTCGCATATTCAGTCTGGAGTCTATGAAACTAAGCATTCTAATGAAACCTAGAAAATATCGCGTAGTAGGTACTGTGGTGAGCGATCTCTTTCCATATATCTCCCTTGTAAATAATTAAGAGCGTACTTAATCAATGTAGGGTCGAGAAACTTTCTGATATCGTCTGTATATTATAACTTTATTACAGGTTAAATTAAGATAGTGATTAACTAAGAACGCAATGAAGAGTGTTTTGTTTAAAAATAGCGTTAAACATATTAAAAATGGAATTTATCATAGGTTGAGTTAAAATATTACTGGCCGGTTTGAAAAAAACAAAACCACCTAACAGGCTGGCTAGTAAAACTAAAAAAAAAGTAAATTTCGCGCGCAAACCGGTTTATTTCTATTGAAAAGCGGGCGTTGACCCTCGTGACCAACCCCTGACCTTCGTGTAAGTGTATCGAGTGATGTAACCGTGACTCTTTGCTCAAAACACGGAATACGTTACGTGCCCATTCATACAAAGTACCTACCTGTTAGACGAACAATTATTGGTTCACTACGCATTATATTAATTCAAATATGGAACTACAGAAGGCATTTTGGATTAAATTTAAAAAAGGAACACTTCTTGATTGCTCGTAGTACTGTCTTAGGAAATGTTTACTTCGGAAGTTATTATGAAAAGTTTTAAAGTTATAACATCAAACGATTTAAAAGATGTACTGAAAAATAGATACATGACCTAATATTATAATTTATACTGTAACTATTTATATATGGAAGTATGTAAAAAGCGATGATATACCTATCGCTGAATTTTTTCGACACAAACTAACTTCTGCTAGAACAACTTACGCCCCCTATTCACTAATTGCGAAACTAATAAGTTCTAATGAACCACAGAAACTTACCCTTCACATATGAGGGTTTGTTTGTGTACAACCTGTTTACGAACCACTAGCGAGCTGCCATCTAGTGGCGAATAGACGTAGTTTATGAACTGTTACTATGTGTCTACAATTTACTGCGAGGTTTGATTTTAAAGTACGTAGAAAAGCTTACCCATATGAATTAATTATTGAAGCTCATAAGTACCTAAAACAATATAAATGATTATTAACAAATGTGTTAAATTACTAAAAAATACCAAATAAATTATAAATTAATATTAAATTAAAAATAATTAATAATATTGCACAATCATAAGCTTAAAGTTGGCAGTCTTCATATTAAATAAAACCAATAATGAGCTACATACTATAAGAAATATTTATATAAATACTTTTTGGTGACATGAAGTTTTAACATTGTTCTATTACCTACCGTAAAACCTTTTTAGTAATTTAAATTATAATAATTTAAAAAAGTATATTTCAAATATGGAACATCTAAGTTATTTAAAATAGTCTAAGGGTTCGGGTGACGTTCGCAAAATCGATACCACCCCTTATTGGTAGCGAAATGATTGAACATCCTTATCGCGACATTTTTCTAATGGCGCGCGTGTTTGAGACCCTTTCTCTAGTTTAGGGGGTGTACATATGCATATGAAATTTTGTCGATTTCTTTGCTTAGATCTATCATTCTTGTTTAAAATGAAGTGTTTATCGACGGTAACGTAAATAGTATATAACATTGTTATATAATACCTATATGACGATCTTTATTTAAAGCTTAAAGTCCTAAGAGAGTGAGGTTTATTGGTTCACTAATTTTCATATCGATTCAAATCTGGAACGAAGAAGAAACTTGGCTTAAAAATTTAGAAAAGGAACCGTTTTTTAATAATAAGCATTGTCGCTTTTAGGACCTATTCACTGCGTAATTTTAATATTGTTTCAAATATGGAATGAAGAAGGAATTGGGCTTAAAAATTTAAAAAAGGAACGGTTTTTTAATAATAAGCTTCGATTTTAGAACTCACTTTAAGCGTACATTTTCTAGTAGAAGAAATAGCTATCTAAATATAGAGTTATAGAAATAAGTTTAATTTAAATTCCATAATTATAGAAAAGACAGTGTGGTGACGTCCTATCACCCCTTTCCGAACGACAATACGGAATCAATACTATCGATACGAATTCGTGAATAGCAAGTGTCGCACACTTACGTGTACGCGTATTATGCACACTTTGAGATTCGGAAGAATTGGACGGTGAGTATGCGTTGAGATAATGTAAGATATATTAACTTTGATATCTTTAATATTTGTAGAAAACATTGTTTTTATAAAAAAAAAATCTTCATCCATTCAACGCAGGTGGCTCTTATATTGATTCAATTCTTAAAGGGCAACGCACTTGCCCTCTGACATGTCTATGGGCAGTGGTCTCACTTAACATCATCCTACTGCCCGTTTGTTACATAAGAAATAGTGAAAACAATTATTTTTTTGTATTATTTTTAAAAAATCATTAATTCATTTAGGTAACACAATGTACTCTTATGAACGTCAATAAAGAAATACATATTAAATGCTTCTAATTTTACATATACTGCCAGTATTCAAATCAAGGCGTAGAACGGACAAGAAGAACTGGCAATAAACTCTCCGCCACTCTTTTTAATCGCCAAGATTTTCGTTTTACAAAATTGGAGCACGCACTTACATTCTCGTGGGAACAACACACAAATACGTAATAAACAAATAAATTAGTGGCGCTACAACCTCTTTAGGTCTTAGCCTCAGACTTCTGAATCTGTTTCATGATCATTTTTAAATCTAATGGGCAAGAAGGTGAACAGCCTCCAGTGTCTGACACACGCGGTTTTCTCACGATGTTTTCCTTAACCGTTCGAGTGAATAAAAATGCGCACATAGAAAGAAATTCCATTGGTGCCAAACAGCAGGGGATTGAACCTACGACCTCAGGGATGAGAGTCTGATGGAATGCGCGCTGATGCCACTAGGCCAATACTGCTCATTTCCTCCCTTTTATGCGTCTTTAATAATATTTTGTGAAGTGAAATCTGCACATTATTTAAATTATAATTGAATCCGCTATTTTAATAACAGCGTGGACACCCCAAAAATTGGTAAAAAGAAAACGCATTAACACATAGATGAATCGTGACACGCACACATGCGCAACACCCACACATCGGTAGCCTCACCCTACTTTTTAAAAGTCGTTGGGGCCTTTGATAAGGAAATGCAGATATTTGAAGGAAAGCTAAGCCTTCCGAGC